ATTGATTTCAAATGGCGACTTGATAGCAAAAATTCAATGCAGGGTTCCAACAAAAATTTAATTTTCTTTTTCCCAGATTTCTTGACAAAATTTTCACTTTTTCATTTTTTTTCCTAACTCTAAAGAATATTTTGATTTACTCTCAAAATTATTGAATTATTACAAAAAATATTACATTTACGAATTTCTTTAATATTGTAAAATTATTCGTAAGCATCAATAGTTTTTTTTCAAATAAATTTTAACTAAAATTCATTTTCAAATCAGATTTTATAAGAAAATTCAATTATTTAAATACAAAAATAAGTAACTTATTGTATAATTCAATATTTCTTATAATTGAATTCTCATAAACAATTTTATAAACAAATTTTTAATTAATTAAATTCTTCGGACGAATTTTAATAATCAAATTTTTAAGAATAATTACATTTTTCGTGAAATTCGATTCAAATTGTATTAAAAATAATTGAAAATCTGCGATGAGTTCTATTATTTACGAAAATAATTGAATTCTTAAAAAAAATTTATTATTTATAAAAATAATTAAATTATTGCCAAGAAATTTATAAAACAATTGTAAATAATTGAATTCCTGTTATATTTTTACTATTTATGAAAATATGTTTGCGTAGAATTTTATCAACATTTTTTTTCAAATAATTCAATTCTTTTGGAACATTTTATTAAAAAAAGCTTTTCATATTCAATTATTAACTGAAGTTTTAACTGAAATTCAGTTTTAAATCAATTATTAAGTTAAAATTTCTACGAGAATTCAATTATTTAAATACAAAAATAATTAATTTATTAAATAATTGAATATTTTTTAATAATAAATTCCTTAAAAGAAATTCAAACAAAATTTTAAGAAATTGAACTTTTTCAAAGAATTTTATTTCTTATGTAAATAATTAAATTCCTAGACCAAATTTTAAAAAATTTTAAAATAATTATAATTGAAAAAAATAATATAATTGAAAAAAAAAAATTTTTTTTAATTTTCAAAAATAATTGAATTTCTGTCAAAAATTTTAATACTTATAATAATAATTGAATTTCTGCAAAGAATTTTGTTATTTATAATGATAATTGAATTTTTTCTAAGAATTATATTAAAATTTTCAAAAGTTAAATTTCTATGAAGATTTTTGTAAAAAAAATTTTAAATATAATTGAATTCCTTATAAAAGTTTTGTCATTTTTGAAAATAATTGAATTTTTGACAAAATTTTATAAAAAAAAATTGAATTGTTGCTATAGATTTTATAAAAAATTTTTAAAATAATTAAAATCCTAAGAAAAATTTAACTAAAATTTTTGAAAATAATTGAATTCTTGCAAAGAATTTTATTAAAAATTTTGAAAAGAATTGAATTTTTGCGAAGAATTTTATTAAATTTTTTGAAAGTAATTGAAATTATAAGAAGAATATTATTATTTTTTAATATAATTCAATTCTTAGGAATAATTTTTTAAAACAAGTAAAAAATATTGTTTTTTGGAAATAATTGAATTCTTGAGAATTTTATTATTTTTATATAAATAATTGAAATTTTACCAAGAATTTTATTACTTTTGAAAATAATTGAATTTCTGCAAAGCATTTTTTTTTTATTTAGTAAGAGAATTGATTTCCTAGGAACAATGTTATTAAATTTTTTGAAAATAATTGAAGTTTTTAGAAGAATTTCGTCATTTATGTGAAGAATTGAATTCTTTCGAAAAATTTTATTGAGAAGAAGAATTTTTTTTTTTTTCTAAGAATTTTATTAGCAACTTTCAATTTGAAGATATTTTTGGATTAAGGGGAAAATTTTTTAATATACTTTTAATCGAATAAAATACAATTTTTTTTTCGTGTCTTAAAGTTAAAGTTACAAAAAAAATTGTAAAATATTTTTACGAGCAAACTTGTAAAAATATTTTGCTACTTTTTAATGTCTGAGAAAAGGACTGATTATTATTTCTGGAAATCTTTTATTTTTTTTAATAATAATACATTTTTCTCTTCTATTTCATTACGAAGGAGTGAAATTAGTTTAACAAGGGTTAATAAGAGAGTGAGGTGGACAGTGAAATTTTACTTTGCCAGCAACGGAGGATAATTACAGAAGTCGCAGTTCCCGGTTTGTAAGTCACGTAATTAGACTCCTTTTTCTCAAAGGAGGCAACTCACCATCTAATCGCCGACGCGAATCTCTCGATGCCACTCATGTCTTTTCCTTTCTTTTTTCTGCGCGCAAAAGAAGACGACTTCAGAAGCCAAATTTAATCAAAAATTTCCCTCTACCATTGACGGAAAAAGAAATTCTCTTTCACTTTTATATTAAATTCGTCGTGACTATTTTTTCTCCATTTCTCAAAATTTAATAATAATGTTGAAAAAAGAAATTAACTTCTGCAGAAAAAATCCTATTGATTCGTGCCAATAAATTAATTTAACAATTACATCTTTTTTTTCTTTTTTCAGTGTAAACAAAATTTTCATAAAATTTTTCGAAAAAAATCAATTATTTATTAAAATTCTTCGCATGAATTCAATTATTTTTATAAATAATAAAAATTTTCTCATCAATTCAATTATTTTAAAAACTTTTAATAAAATTCATTTGCCGAAATTCAATTATTTTAATAAATAACAAAATTTTTCCTTGAAATTAAATTATTTTTTAAAATTTCATTAAAACTCTTGTCAAGAATTGAATTATTTTGATAAATAACAAATTTCTTCGCTAAAATTCAATTATTTTCAAAAATTTTTTTAAATTCTCGTCTAAATTTCAATTATCTTTGTAAGCAATGAAATTTCCGTCAAAATTTCAATTATCTTTATAAATAATAAAATTCTTCTACAAAATTCAATTATTTTCAAAAATTTTAATAAAATTCTTGTCAGAATTTAAATTATTTTATAAAAATCTTGTCAAGAATTCAATTATCTTTAAAAATATCAAAATTCTGCTCCAAAATTCAATTATTTCGGCAAATTTTTTTTTTAATTCTTGTCAATAATTCAATTATTTTAGTAAATAGCGAAACTCTTCTTAGAAATTTAATTATTTTCATAACTTCTAATATTCATCACAAGAATTCAATTATTTTTAAAGATTTTCGTTAAGAATTCAATTATTTTTAAAAATAATAAAATTTTTCTCAGAAATTCAATTATTTTCAAAAATGTTAATTAAAATCTAGGCAGAAATTCAATTTTATTCATAAATAATTGAATTTTTAGCAGGAATTAAATTACTTTTAAAAATTCTATTAAAATTCCTCGAAAAATTAAATTATTTAAAAAAATTTTATTAAAATTCTTCGAAAGAATTAAATTATATTAAAAAAATGTTTATATAATTTTTTATAAGATATTTTTAATCAATATTTAATTTCAAATTATTTAATTATTGAAAATAATTTATTTAAAGAAAAAAGTTAGTTAAAAACATTTTAAAAAGAAAAAAAATTTAGAGGACTTACAAATCATTACAATTTTTAAAAGTAATTGAATTTCGAAAATGTTTCAAATTAAAATCATTGTAAACAAATGGATTTGAAAGTTCTGAAAGAACTTTGTAAAACATTATTAAAAATATTTGATTTCAAAAAAAATTTTAGTTAAAAATTGTAGAAATCTTTAATCAATTTATAAAATTTTATTTAAATTCTTTGAAAGAATTCAGTTATTTTGATAAATAATAAAATTCTTTTTATAAATTCAATTATTTTTAAAAATAAAAAAAACTTTTATAAAGAATTCAATTATTTAATAAAATTTCTATAAAATTCTTCACTAAAAATTCAATTATTTTTGAAAATTTTCATCAAATTTTTGGGAAAAATTCAATTATCATTATAAATAACAAAATTATTCGCAGAAATTCAATTATCTTTAAAAGTAACAAAATTTTTAGCAAGAATTCAATTATTTAAAAAAAATTTTTGTAAAACTCTTCACAGAAATACAATTATTTTTGAAAATTTTCATAAAATTCTTGAGAAAGATTCAAATGTCATTAAAAAAACAAAAATTCTTTGCATAAATTCAATTATATTTAAAAATTTTTATCAAATTCTTCACAGAAATTGAATTATTTTTGAAAATTTAAATGAAATTCTTGTGAAAAATTCAATTCTCATTGTAAATAACAAAATTTTTCGCAGGAATTCAATTATTATTTTCAAAAATAACCAAATTTTTTGCAGAAATTCAATTATTTTTCAAAATAACCAAATTTTTATTAGGAATTCAATTATTTTTGAAAAGTTTATGAAAATTCTTCACAGAAATTCAATTATTTTTTAAAATATTTTATTATTTATTTGGTTATTTTTAAAAATAACCAATTTTTTGGCAGGAATTAAATTATTTTTCAAAATAACAACATTTTTATTAAGAATTCAATTATTTTGAAATTTTTTTTTTAAATCTTGTTATGAATTCAATTATCTTAATAAATAACAAAATTCTCAGCTGAAATTCAATTATTTTCAAAAATTTTATTAAAATTCATAGCAATAATTCAATTATTTTCATAAATAACAAAATTCTTTGCTGAAATTCAATTATTTTCAAAAATTTTTTTAAAAACCTTGTCAAGAATTCAATTATTATTATTATAAGAATCAAAATTCTTCACAGAAATTCAATTATTTTCTAAATAACATTTTTATAGCAAGAATTCATTTTTTTAAAAAATTTTTATAAAGTTCTTCACTAAAAATTTAATTATTTTTGAAATTTATAGAATTCAATTATAAATGACCCAAAACAATTTTGGAATTATGTAAACAAATTACGCAAAGATAATCGACTCCCTAATATTATGTTTTATGATGATATAATGGCAAACAATAATTTCGACATTGCAAATATCTTTGCCAATTTTTTTAATAGTGTATATGACACATCTACGACTCCGTCAACCTCAACGAACTACTTGAATGATTCTTTTATTCTGCAATCCTTCTCTATAGATAAGCAATCAATTATGGAAAAGCTCAAAAATTTAAATATAAATAAGGGTCCAGGTCTGGATGATATACCACCACTTTTTTTGAAGTCTTGCCGTTTGCCTCTTTTGGAACCTTTGTATATTATATTTAATATGTCTTTGTCTACATGCACTTTTCCTTCTGAGTGGAAAAAGGGAATTATTGTTCCTGTCTATAAGGATGGATCTAAAGATCAAGTAAAAAATTACAGACCGATTACTATACTCAGTGCAATCTCGAAAGTATTTGAGAGTTTAGTACTTGATGTAATTTATTTTCAGTTGTCTAATTTCATTATAGGCGAACAGCACGGCTTCGTTAGAGGCAGATCTGTGGAAACCAATTTGTGTATATTTTCTAATTTTATACTTAACAATCTTGAGCGAGGCCTCCAGGTTGATGCTGTATACACAGATTTTTCAAAAGCTTTTGATAAGGTAAATCACGATATTCTGGTGGCAAAGCTGAGGGACTTTGGGCTTTCTCAAAATTTTCTTTTATGGGTAAAATGCTATTTATCAAACAGAACGCTCACAGTTCGTGTTAATCACGACTATTCAAATGTTTTTTATGCTACATCGGGAGTGCCTCAGGGTTCGAACCTCGGACCACTTTTATTTATTTTATTTACAAATGATGTCTCATCTTTATTTAAACACTCTTTATTTCTTTTATTTGCGGATGATATGAAATTATATAAAGTTATCAATTCCACAGCTGATGCCGAGGACTTTCAAAAAGACATTGATAAATTATATAAATGGTCTTTAACTAACAAACTCTTGTTAAATGTTAAGAAGTGTTCGGTAATCACTTTTTCAAAATCTTTATCACCGCAATTATTTAATTACAAAATTGGCAATTCTATTCTAAATAGAGTGGGGGAGGTTCGTGACCTTGGAGTAATTTTACAATCTACTTTCGATTTCACTAAACATATAGATCATGTAGCTGAGAATTCTCTCAGGACTCTTGGTTTTGTGACCAGAAATGCATCGATGTTTAACAACATAACAGCTATTAGAACTTTGTATCTTTCTTTAGTTAGATCGCCTGTTTTGTTCGCATCGATTGCCTGGAGGCCTTATTATGATGTCCACATTGATAGATTGGAGAAGATTCAAAACAGATTCTTGCGTTTTTTAGCCTATAAGGCAAATGTAAATCACGATTTTTATAGTCATGAATATGGTATGCTGAGATCGCACTTCAGAATTCAGGATTTATCGACGAGATTCTTATATTCTGATCTTCTATTTTTATACAAAACTGTAAATGGAATATTCATTTGTCCTGAATTGCTTGAACTAATTAATTTTTATATACCATCGCGTAATTTGAGGAGAGTTAGTGGTTTGTTTAAGTTAGGTTATCATAGAACAGAGTATGGTGAGAATTCACCTATTCATAGAATTTGTAAAGCAGCAAACTTACTTGCTAATAATAATTTAGATTTTTTTACAACACCAATGAGCAAATTTGTCAGGAATTTAAAGTTAGCAATCTTCGAAAATAATAATGTTTGAACTTTCTCTACGCTAACTTCTTGTTAATTAGTTTTAATATATTGTTAAGTACTTTGTACAAAAGGGCTTTGTGCCCGTAAACACATATAAATAAATAAATAAATAAATAAATAAATTCTTCTCAGAAATTTAATTATTTTCAAAAATAACAAAATTTTTATCATGCATTTAATTATTTTTCAAAATTCTAATAAAATTCTAGTCAAAAATTCAATTATCATTATAAATATCAAAATTTTTCGCAGAAATTCAATTATTGTTAAAATATAAGAAATTTTTTTGCAGAAATTCAATTACTTTTTAAAGATTCTGTTAAAATTTCTCGAAAAATTCAATTATTTTCAAAAATAACAATTATAGCGGGAATTCATTTATTTTTAAAATATTTTTATAAAATTTCTCTATAGAATTCAATTTTTTTTCAAAAATTTTCATAAGAATTTTTCACAGAAATTCAATTATCTTTGTAAATTATATTAAATTTTTCATGGGATGGCGATTATTTTTTTGTAATAATTATAATAATAATAATAATTATTATTATTATTATTATTATAATTATTATTGTAATAAAAATCTTCACAAGAATTCAATTATTTTCGTAAATAATAAAATTCTCTTCAGGAAGTAAATTATTTTCAAAAAAATTCTAATACAATTAATGGTAAAAAATTATTAAAAATAATTGCTTTAACGAAGAATTTCAATTCTTCTTTAAAGCAATTATTTTTTAAAAATTGTAGAAAATAATAATTTTTAGAAATAAGATGTTTTTGGTTTGTTTGCCCTAATGGCTTGAAGCAATTAGGGCAAACAAACCAAAAACATTTTATTTCTAAGAATTTTATCGCTTTTAAAAATTTAAATATAATTGAAAACAGTAATTGAATTAGTGCTACTTTTTTTTTAAAATGAATTGTCTTGCACAAAGTCTGTATTCCATATAATTACCATTTATTATAATTATACATTGTTTAGCGTCGAACTGTGAATATTTGTTTCCTTGGTTGACAAGAGCCGTTTGAATTTTTGTTACAGCGTCCCAATCTGGATCGGTTATTGGCCGGGATCCACTTCCGTCTCGAGCGGTAAGCACTTCGCAATTACCGCAGAAAAGTCTAACTCAGTCCCCGCCAACCCAAGTGTCGACACTTCCGCTTCCACGAAACAGTGGAAGCAGCCATCGTCAGCAGCCACTTCTGGTTCATCAATCGACACCACAATCCACGAAACAATCAGAGCATGGAGCTCTAATTAACTCGCAGATTTTAAAAGCCGCCAGCAGCGGTGATGTACGGCTCAATTCAGCTTTGTAAGTTTATTCAATTGTCATTTTCACCAAATTTTTTCCTTTTTATATTGATTCAATTTAATTTAATTTATCAAAATTAGAAAAAAAAATTTTTATAAAATTTGAAAATTGGAAAAAAATTCATCTTTTTTATTTTGTTTTTATTGAATTCTCATTTTCAGCAAATTTTTTCCTTTTTCTGTTTATTGATTGAATTTAATTTAAAAAAAATTGGAAAACAAATTTTTATAAAATTTTTATAAAAATTGGAAAAAAATTCATCTTTTTTGTTTTGTTTTTAATTTTTTATTGAATTCTCATTTTCAGCAATTTTTTTCCTTTTTCTGTTTATTGATTTAATTTAATTTAAAAAAATTGTAAAACAAATTTTTATAAAATTTTTATAAAAAAATTGGAAAAAAATTAATCTTTTTTGTTTTGTTTTTATTGAATTCTCATTTTCAGTAAATTTTTTTCTTTTTCTGTCTATTGATTTAATTTATAAAAATTGGAAAAAAAAGGTTTATAACAATTTTAATAAAAAGTGGGAAAAAATTCATATTTTTTGCGAGATGAGATAATTATTATTAATACTTGACCGAATTTACTCAAATATTAAAAATGTACAAGTGTCTTATATTAATAATCCGTTAAATATTCACGCTCATTAGAGAAAATCATCTTTCTACTTGTGAAGAGATGAATTAATAATATTTGCCAGGGATAATTAAATGAATTATTTTAATTAAATTAACTTATTTTTGAAATATGTTCATAACTTCCAAATTGAATTAAATTTAATTAGTAGTTTTATTTTTAATTTTTAATTATTAGTTTTATTAGTATTTAATATTATTGGAAATAAAAAATTCATTTTACTCTGTATCTAAATCTGAAAAAGAAATAAGTGGACCACTGAAGGAAAAATTAAATTTTTCTTACAATAACATTTTTGAATTGAAAAAAAAAATTGATAAAATGGTTACTGCCATTTTAATTTTTTTAAACTTTCAAAATTTTAAATTTTAAATAATTGAATATTGTTTTAAAGACTTTTATCAAAATTTTTACAAATAATTGAATTCTTTCAGGGAATTTTAATAGAATGTTTCAAAATAATTGAATTTTATCAAGAAATTTTATTGAAATTGTAAAGAAAAAGAACTGAATTACTTCGAAGGATTTTTATAATTTTGGAGAATAATTCAATTCTTAAGTCAAAGTTTATTAACGTTTTTGTAAATAATTGAATTGTTTCGAAGAATTTTATTAAAATAGTTGATGAAAATAATTAAATTTTAATCAACGATTTTTATCAAAATTTTCACAATTCATCAAATTCTTTCAAGGAATTTCATTAAAGAGTTTAAAAATAATTGAATTTTTGACAAAGAAATTCATTTGAATTTTTGAAAATAATTGGATTTTTGCGAAGAATTTTATGATAAGTTTTGAAAAAAAATTGAATTCTATAGAGAAATTTTATTAAAATTTTCTCAAAATAAAAGAATTACCCCTACAAATGTTATTTTTGAAAATAATTGAATTTTTGCGAAGAATTTTATACAAGTTTTCAAAAATAATTTAATTTCAGTAAAGAATTTTATGAAATTTTCCAAAATAATTGAATTTCTTTGTAGTTTTGGTATTTATAATAATAATTAAATTCTTGTCAGAATATTAATAAAATTTTTAAAAATAATTGAATTTCTGCGAAGACTTTTATGAAAATTTTTTATAATAATTGAATTCCTGATAAAAAATTGATATTTTTCAAAAATAATTGAATTTAAGCGAAGAATTTTGTTATTTATAATGATAATCAAGAAGATTATTAATAAATTTTAAAAATAATGGAATTTTTGTGAAGAAATTTATAAAAATTTTTGAAAATAATTGAATTTATCGAAAGAATTTTATTATTTATCAAGATAATTGAATTCTTTCAAGGAATGGCGTTAAAATTTTTGAAAAAAATTGAAATTTTAACAAGAATTTTATTAAAATATTTTGAAATAATTGAATTTCAGACAGGAATTTTGGCCAATTATAAAGATAATTGAATTCTTAACCAGAGTTTTAAAAATGTTTTTGAAAATAATTGAATTTCTGCGTAGAATTTTATTATTTTTGACAGTAATTGAATTTCTGCGAAGAATTTTGTTATTTATAATGATAATTGAATTTTTGACAAGAAGTTTATTAAAATTCACAAAAATAATTGAATTTCTTCAAAGAATTTTCTGAAAATTTTTTTAAAATAATTGAATTTCAGTGAAGAGTTTTAAAAATTTATAATGATAATTGAATTCTTGTCAGAATATTAATAAAATTTTAAAAAATAATTGAATTTCTGCGAAGACTTTTATGAAAATTTTTTATAATAATTGAATTCCTGACAAAAAATTGATATTTTTAAAAATAATTGAATTTAAGCGAAGAATTTTGTTATTCATAATAATAATTGAATTTTTGACAAGAAGTTTATTAAAATTTAAAAAAATAATTGAATTTCTGAGAAGAATTTTATTAGTTTGAAAAATAATTGAATTCTTGACAAGAATTTTAATAAAATTTACAAAAATAATTGAATTTCTGTGAAGAACTTGAAAAAATTTCCAAAAATAATTGAATTGCTGATAAAAATTTTGTTATTTTTGAAAATAATTGAATTTCTGTTCAAAATTTTGTTACTTTTGGAGATAATTGAATTTCTGCTGCGAATTTTGTTATTTTTAATGAGAATTGAATTTTCCCCAAGAATTTTTATTAAAATTTTTGAAAATAATTCAGTTTCTGTAAAGAATTTTATGATAATTTTTAAAAATAATTGAATTCCTGATAAAAATTTTGTTATTTTTGAAAATAATTGAATTTTTGCAAAGAATTTTCATATTTTTAATAATAAATAATAATATTGAATTCTTGCCAAGAAATTTAATAAATTTTTCAAAACTGTAATTAATTCTAAATTTAAAAAAAAATTATTCCATTTTTTTAATCTAATTTAATTTAGAAATTATAATAAAAAAATTTTTTTAAATTTAATTTTCATTTAGAAAATACTTGAAGAAGTAAAGATTCAGTAAATATATAAAATTAAGGATCAATGCTCAAATGTTAGTATTTTAGTCTCGGGCCGCTTGACAAAACCGCAAGAAACATTACGTGGAGGACAAAGAAATATTGACAGGGCAAATAAAGTAAATGAAAGTTAAACAATAGAGTAAGAGGAATTTTAAACAAGTGTCCAATAACGACTGCAATTAGCATTGAAATTAACCCGACCGTTCGGTTCTTTTTCTTTTTCTTCATCCTCTCAAAGCTAAAGAAAACGGTCAAGAAAACAAATCTCTAAAAAAGTTATGTTCCATTTCCAAGATTTATATTCTGTTAAATATTTCCTCTTTTTCAGGTAATGAATTTTTTATCGCAATTTTTATGTCGAGAATATTTCATAGTATTCAATTTTATTTAATTAATTGCATCGAAAAACATTAAAATTAATCACTTCTTTGAATTCAAAGATTTTCGCGTTATTTTTAAAAATAACGCGAATTCTTTATTCTTTGATTAATGCGAAGTTTATGGAACTTTCTTTCTTTTTTTCTTTCTTTTTTCTTTATTTCTTTATTTCTTTATTTCTTTATTTCTTTATTTCTTTATTTATTTCTTTCTTTATTTCTTTCTTTATTTCTTTATTTATTTAT